ATAGAAATATTACCATTTGGAAAAAAAGATCTCCATCATTTGATAGACGAGACTTCCTGGAATTTAGCATTTTCCAGTTTTACTAACAATATTCATGACCTTTCTCTAATAGAAATGCACTTTAAGTGCATCAATAGATGGTATTACGTTTCAACTAGATTAGCCAAAATGTTTTCAAACAGTATAATAAATATTGGAGATGCAAAGAAGAAACAGGTTCCTATATGCATATATTAATATTATCTTTTAAACTGGTCTGTACCTTTCCAAATAAAAAAACAGGTCATCTATGTAACGGCAAAAGGTGACGAGGCTCTCCACCCAGCCATGTGCGTAATGTACATACTGGCATTCCCAATCCACCATAAACCGATTAGCATAACTGGGTGCGAACCTTGTACCCATCATCGTCCCAAAGACCTGTAAATAAAAATCTCCATTATACCAAATATTAGTAGTTAAAGGGACACTATAGTCACCAGAACAACCACAGCTTATTGTATTTGTTCTGGTGAGTAGAATCATTACCTTCAGGCTTTATAGGTCCCTATATGCATATATTCTGGAAATGTAAAAAAGTACGCACTGTATTGTTATGGGATTTTGTGTTTATTAAAAAGGCTCTGAGGATTAGCATAAAAATCTCTCCAGAAATTGGATTATTGAATATGAATTTGTCAAAATATTCAAAAAAACAAGTATATTTAAAGGGACACTATAGTCACAGAACAACTACAGCTTATTGCATTTGTTCTGGTGAGTAGAATCATTACCTTCAGACTTTTTGCTGTAAACACTGTCTTTTACAGCCTAGTGATAACTTCACTGGCCACGCCATAGATGGCTGTTAGAGAGCCTTCCTGGGTCCTGGCTGCCTAAAATGCATCCAAACATTCAGTATCTCCTCCCTCTGCATGCAGACATTGAACTTTCCTCATAGAGATTCATTGATTTAATTCATCTCTATGAGGAGATGCTGATTGGCCAGGACTGTGTTTGAATCATGCTGGATCTGCCTCTTTGTCAGTCTCAGACAATCCTATGGGGAAGCATTGTGATTGGATCAGGCTACCACTTCTGATGATGTCAGCAGGCAGTGGGCAGGTCTACAGGAAACAGGGACAAAGCCTGCAGCTCCAGACCTGAATACAAGTAAGGTTTTACTATTTTTAGGGAAGCATGAGGGGACCAGGGTGGCTAGATGGTGGTTTTAACAGCCCACACATGTGCGGCTGTTAAAATTCTGATGGCAAGAGCCTGGAAGCAGACACATGCTTTTTCAAAATCAGCCCTTTTGAATCAACTGCTGTGGCAGCTTAAGATGGGAAATGGTATGTGGAGGCAGGGGAAATTCAAGTATAATATCTAACAATGTTTTGACATTAGCACAAAAAATATTGTTACAGTTCCTCATATAAGGATATGTTACATTTTTAAGTGGTCCTTGTTCCTAGCCGGCTGCCGATTAGATCAACATTGTATGGAAGGCCTTGCCTGGTTTTCCTATTCGAGAACACTGGCGTGACCTGGCAGCTATTATTGTAAAGTCTTCTTGTTGTTTTTTGTTTGTTTTTGTTTTATATGTATTGTAAAACATTTTTTGTGTGTAAAAAATCAAATATTTTGGAATTTTAAAAAAATAAAGCTAAAGCTAAAAAATGAGCGCAGGGCTTGTAACGGATCGCCTGGCACCCCGACTGGGTACCTCCGTTAAAGGATGCTCCTAGCGATTCCTGAGGACTCCAAGCACTGCAGCAGACACCACAACCACCGAACCGGAGAAGCATATGAATCCTCTCAAGCATATGAATGCTGTAGACAGTTGAATAGGAACCATACGAATAGGTTTACTCTCCTAGCAGTCAAACTGGAACAGTATACAATAAATCCTTCCCCCAATAATGAGACGACACTTCACTTTGAGGGTTAAAACAGGAATTCCCTGTACTGTCACATACAGTCTCTTTTATTCCCAATCCACAAACATAGTACAGCCCACAGGGCGTTACAAAACAACCAATCACATCATAGTTACATCCCACATATTCCCTCCCCTTATCCTGAGAGGAAACTCAATTATACATACAGTTAAAACATACTTTCTACCCAACTTTCATAACTCCAAAACCATACATCACATTCACATAAAATTACATATTCACAATCAATCCATTCAGGGGAACAACATATTCAAAAATGGCACAAATCAGACAAGGGGTTCAAAAGTTAGTAAAAAGTCCTTTGTGACTAAATGAAGCATGGCTTTCTGGCCCAAACCAGTTTCAGAGTCTTCTATCCTGGAGATAAGTAATTCAATTATCTCCCAGGACAGACACAAGACTCCATTAAGCACATGGTTGCAAAAGACACAAAACACTTTAAAATACATAAAGTCACATTTTACACATAACACACAGACATTTCACATATCCCCAGATAGCTCAGGTCTGAGCGCACATTATTAAGTGAATGGCGCTCGGACCACACAAATACAGTTTAATCGCCATGGAGCCAAAGTCTTTACAGTCAGTTTCATACGAATGGGCTCCATGAGATTCCTATCTGGGGTATAACACATTCACATAAAGTCTGGTCCATAGTCCAAAGGCAAGAGGCGGGCAAGCAGCCCCCTCCAAGGACACGTGGCGAGGCCGGTTTCGCCACAGGACTTGTTTGTTTTTGTATTTAAAAAAAAATACCCGTTTCTGTCTCATTAGAGATTTCTTTGCCAGAAGCTCAAAGAAGCAAGGTGAAAGGTCAGTGTAGGACCCACCTGAGAGGTTTACTTGACGTGGCTGGTGGGCTAAAGTCTCTCATGGCCATTGGAGAAACTAAATAGCCTCCATTTGTTTAAATATGCATAGGGATTTGGGAAAAGCGCAGGTAACATTTTTCTTTGGTTTTTACTGTATGTATTGGGGCTGAGGTGTACTATGGTCATTGCTGCCACCCAGGAAAGATGGGAGTTTGAGCACAGGACTTGTTTTTTTGTGGTTGTTAACAAGTAAAAAAGAAAGTAACCATCTTTTTCTTTTACACATTTCCACTTTAACCCCTTAGTGACCACACCGGTTTTTCAGTTGTCTTACCGTTTGGGACCAGGGCTGTTTTTACAGTTCTGCGGTGTTTGTGTTTAGCTGTAATTTTACTCTTACTCATTTACTTACTCACACATATAAACCGTTTTTCTTGCCATTAAATGGTCTTTCTAAAGATACCATTATTTTCATCATATCATATAATTTACTATATACTATAAAAAAATTATAAAATATGATGAAAAAATTGTAAAAAAACACACTTTTTCGAACTTTGACCCTCAAAAATTGTTACGCATCTACAACCGCCAAAAAACACCTAAATAGTTTCTACATTTTGTCCTGAGTTTAGAAATACCCAATGTTAACATGTTCTTTTTTAAGGGTTACTGCCAAAGAACACCTCAATATGTGTTCAACAACCACCCATGTATAGGTCTGTTGGATTCTCTGGGGGCTAAAACACCTTATTTGGAGGGTGCGCATTCTATTTTTCCAAATTGGAATTTTCACAGCTGATCATCAGGCACCCATGACCTATTTGGGACATTTGTGAAGCCGGCCAATGTAATATATCCCCATCAAGCCATATATTTTTTTAAAGTAGACAACCTGATGAATTCAATATGGCATGTATTCAGTCTTTTTTAGTAGCCACATAGTCGGCCTGGGTTATTAGGCAGGACCCTCAAATTGCAATCAATAAAATTACTTTATAATGTAAAAATATTACATAAATATGCACATAGAATTTAAATATATATATATATATATATATATACATATTTAGATTTTTGAAGTCTACGTGTATATTTATGAAATTATTTATGTAATTATGTATATGGACATATGTATATTTTGTTTTATTTTTATTTATTTATATATATATACATAGCTATATATAGCATTTCATTTCAAGTGTGTTTTGATATAAATATATATGTTAATATAAAAAAGTTAGAATAAAATTACCTATATATATATAATTTTTTTACATTTATTTTAAATTAATTATTTATTTTTTATAATAATAATAATAATTTATATATACAATATATAGTTATTATATATATTATGTATATACGTGTGCAATTTTACTCTAAGTGTATTTTTATATAAATATATTAAAATATATATATATATATATTAATAAAAATAAGTATTTATTTTTTCTTAATTTATTCTTCACTGAGTGCCTCGACCCCTCAAGGCACTCAGCACACAGGCAGAGCATCGGAAGCCTGTCTGATGGCTTACGATGCTCTGCCTCACTGCCAGGCTCCACGTGGAGCAACCCGGAAGTGATCGCTCCAGGGGGAACGATCACTCGGGAGCACGGCAGTCATTGCACAATGCCTCGACATTGATGCCCCATGGCGCTCTAATTAGCTGCGGACGTATCAGGTATGTCCACGGTCCTAAAGGACCATTTTTTGTCGGACGTACCTGAAACATCCTAGGTCGGGAAGGGGTTAAACAGGAATAAAGAAGAAACAATTTGTATTACAGAGCAATACATGCAATGGAATAGTGCAGGGCAGGCAACCTTCAGCACTCCAGATGTTGTAAACTACATCCCCTATAATGTTCTTGCTCCTATAATACTGGCAAAGCATCATGGGAGGTATAGTCCAAAACATCTGGTTGCCAATGTCTGGAATAGTGATGCCTTACTATCAACCTTTATTCAAACCTATCACATTAAAGGAACACTATAACATTAGAAATACAACCTCATTCCTAACCCTACACTGTCCCTCCTTGACTGCTCCGGCGATCATTCAATCCAGTGTTCTTTATAGAGGAGCATTGCGTAACTAATGCTCATGCGCAGCGAGCGTTGTTCGTGTATTCTAGCATCTCCATAGAAAAGCATTAAATAAATGCTTTTGCTATGGGGCTTCTACATCAAGTGACTGAATTTTACTTGGTCAGTCCTCTGGAATCGCCTAAAGGTGGACTTAAGCTTGCAATGTTAACATTGCAGTTTCTAAAAAAAAAACTGCAATGTTTTACATTGCAGGGTTAAATGGACAGGGACACTGCATTGTGATGAAGTCATCTGGATGACTATACTGTCCCTTTAATGGGAGCCATAACACTATCCTAGCCAAAAAATACAACCCCCACATGTCAAACAAATCATACATTACAATTTACGTGCTCATGCAACAGGGGAGGAAAGGTTTCTGGACATGACTATAAACCATGTAATCAACATAACCTCATAAATGTGTAAAACTAACACATATCCGAGGAACTACCTAATGCCACCGAAACTAATGATGACGAAAACTTTATAAAAGAAAGCACTGATGATGCAAAGATTAAGTGCTTCAGAGAGCATAAAGTGTAGCCAACAGGAAAAAAGCTGAACTACTGCAGGTCCCTTCACTGTCTGCTGTAATGCCTCGCATCAACACCTTTGACTGATAAATTGAGTGCACACCCCATATAGAAGATATTAGAATGAGAAAGGAAGGATTTCTGCTGCAGAGCAGGGAATCATTCAATCCTTTTGTTCTAAGCAGGATTTGTGAGTCAGGGTTCATGTTAAATCAATTAACAGCAAAACACGTTTTGAGGATGATGAGTTTAGAAACTGAACCATAAGGGATGTACAGGAGAAGCATACCAGCAAAATAGCAGTAGTGACAGATGTCTTTATTGTTAGCCTGCAATTTTAAGAAACAAATTTCTTTTGTAAAACATAACTACAATTTCTCCCCTCCAAAAAAACTCCATTAATCATCGGTGAATCTTCTCTTTTTTGTAGTATGTTCTGTGTTGAGTTGACACATTTGATGTTGAAAACACCAACGAATCTTATAGCACATGATTGCTTTTAAGAAGGCATTTACATATATTGATTCCCGTGGTGGAACACAAGACACAAATAGAGATTATGCATAAAGAGCGATTCTGGTACAAAGCTCTAAAAGTGGATCAGTCAGCAGGAACATTCCATTGGTTTCCATGGTGATTGCTCCACTTTATAAAAATTCACCCCACAATTACTCTTTTTACATAACTCCCCAAAGTTCCTCTACATCACCAGGCAACTCCTGCAATGTAAATTTGTCTCTAGGATGATCGAAATGAAGGCTGACCCTAGTGCCTCATTGTTTCATGAACTCTTATCGTGTCTCATGAACCATGTTGAAGCAAGCTGAAAGCAGCAGCGAATACAAGTGTTCCAGGAATTTTTTAAAAGCCTAGATGATGGCCTGAAAATAATAAACAAAAGACGATTCCCTTTTGTTTCTCGAAGTAGTGCTTATGTCAAGATTTCTCCATGCAGAAAAGCATTTACTTAGATTACTCACTGCCTAGTTAAAGGTGAACAATGATGATTGCATTTGCAAATAATAATACATTGATGCTAATCACCTGCATGCATTGTGGCACTAGAACTAATGGTATCCTTGACTAACTGATGCACTCAAAAATAGTACTAGCATAGTATAAGTCCATATGTTAATTGGCTGCAGGATTTATTTGGTTATTCTTCATAAACTCACATATCATTATCTCAATATCCTGCCCCTCAACAGGCAGGTATCTACTCTAACTGACACAAACATTTAAATACAAGGACACAAAGATATAACAGTAAGGGAAATAGAATTGGCATGGCTGGGAGAGTATGTACTTACTGTTTCTATGGATATCATACTGGTAGCCACAAGTGTGACAAAGCCCCTCAGCACATTATTTAGAATTATTATTATTATTTATAAAGCACCAACAAGTTCCGTAGCGCTGTAAAATGGGTGGACTAACAGACAAGTATTTGTAACCAGATGAGTTGGACACACAGGAACAGAGGGTTTGAGGGTCCTGCTCAATGAGCTTACATGCTAGAGGGAGTGGGGTAATGTGACACAAAAGGTAAGGGTAGAGTAGGGTAGAAAAGTAGATTGCTAGGATAGTGTTCATTGAGGGCTTAGTGTTTTGTTTTGATGACAGTTTGAGGGGAGGAACCAGGGTGTGGATAAGGAAAGCTGTTCACAGTCACCTGAAAAAACACTTAGCATTAATCAGTAGGTGTTATTTGTAACGGAACCACTTGCACCCCAACCGGGTATCTTCCGTTGATGGATGCTCCTACTACTTCCCAAGGACTCCAAGCACTCCGCCAGACAACATAACCACTGTAGACTCCCACGAACCGCCGCAGCTTGGTTGGGGTCTCGCCATCTCCACCAACTCTGGACCCAAGACCAGGGTCCAGCTTCCGGTAGGTCAACCTCTCTGAATTCCAGAGAGCAGGAAGAAGAACAAGCTCTTAGCAGAGCTTAGTGATTATACGCTGGGGAGTATAGTGATTATAGCAATCCCCAGAGTGTAGTTCTCCAATCCCCCAATCATGAACTGAAACTTCATGAAGGTACAAGATGATCTGACTCCAATGAGCATTTATTACTCCTTATATACAAGTTTTTAGGCCAGAGGCACACCCCCTGGACCTGGTGGTAAACTGTGACAAAAGGGACACATCCTGGAGATAATTGGCTTAAAGCACTGCAGTAAACTCAATTATCTTCAGGTACAGAAAATATCTACATTTTACACTAACAGCAAAAATACGTAAAAGTACATAAAAATACATAATTCTTATTATATTACACAGATCCCCCACCTTTAACCTACCCCCAGATAGCTCGGATCTGAGCGCCCAATATAGGTGAACAGCGCTCAGATCCCATGAACAAAGTAAATTTGCCATGAGGTTAAAGTTTTGGGGAAGCCTCTTTTGCCCGACCGCACGCAGGATTTCCTGCCCAAAACAGTTCCACAGAGTTTGGCAGTGCGACCGGTCTATTTCCAATGTTAAAGTCAGTTCACGTAGAAAAAATGAGTAAGTTCCATTCGAATGCACGAACGGGCCCCGTTCGTGCAAATAGCACAGTGTAACATGGCGTTCGAATTGTCGAACGCACTTCGACTTTAGCCAAAGTGTCAAAGTGGAGGAGAAGGTCAGGGTCAGCAGTGTTCGTGTAAATGTGTAGCTGATTTTAGTTCCATGGATTCAGGGGCACACACTGCTGACCGCGTTCCACTAAATTAAAACTTCGACTACTTCGGCACTTCGGCTGCATCCGAAGTGCCATATAAAAAGTACCTTCCCTACAGTTCTTAAAGGGCCAGAAGTAGTGAAATAAAATCCGATATGACCAAATAATGTTTTTAAAGGGCAAAATCTCCCCAGGGCCATATTCATGAGGAAGCTTTTATTTTGTCATGCAAAAATAAAAGCTTGGATGTATCAAAGGTAAAATGAACTTTATTTTTCAATTCCTCCGAAACCACCTGGAACAGTAAAATCAGAGGAGATGTGGCAACTAACTGTTGTTGACTGTTTTGGCAATACCACGAAATTTCATATTTTTCATCTACGATCATCGTCCATCTAGTCGAGTTTAAGTGACAGAGCCTAGTTAGAAGCCTGTAACACTTCCACTTGCTCTGTCATTCCAAGCTTCTATTTGAGCAGCAGCAGACACATCATCTTCTTTCACCAGTTACTCTGGCCGTTATTCTGACCACTTACTCTGGCCGTTTGGATTTCCTCCCACAACACTGCTAGATTAGGAATGAAGAAGGAGTAAATATTCTTCATCAGATCTAAGATATCTTTCTTCATTTCTGGAGATTCCAAGTCTTCAGTTGGGAGGTGAGTAAAAAACATATATGATCATCATCCATGGAGTCGAGTTTAAGTGATACCCTTTAATAACAGGACAGCCCCCGAGCACTCCCATTCCTCCCCCCACCCAACATCCGACGAACACTGAAGCCAGGATGAAAAGAGAGGTGAGCGTCAGAGGCCCCTGGCATGTTGCAGGTGCGCCAGGCAGGGTAACAGCCAGCGGGTGCCATGCCAACCTTTAACTTCCTTCTCTGCTCTGCTGCAAACCCACCATTAACTAAACTTACAGCTAATGATTTTGCATGTCACTTGACTGACAAGATTAACTAAATTACCTCCTTTTTCGGCCTCACATCCAACACTCAGATTATGTTCTGTTCCCTCTTTCACTCTTCACTCCTTTCCCCCTGTCTATGAAAAAGATGTCTCTAAACTTCTATCACACCAAACCACCTCTCCTCTTGACCCCATCCACTCTCAACGTATTCAGTATTTTTCCCGTAGCATGACTGCTTTAATGACATCTTTTTATGATAATATAAAAGTCTTACAACTAGAATCAAGATATCTTCTTTCTTTTATACATGATTATGTGGGGCCTCCGTAGGATTCAATAGTTTTATACTTTTTTGGACACTGCATGATATCTACAAGATTCATATGACTTCATGGGCCATAAATAACTGTCTGAGATGCAAGAAACAATATGTAGAAGGCGTAATCTCTGCCACTGCCTCAGATGGGAGATGGAGTTTGCCTGCTTCTGTGCAAACAAGTTCTAAGCAGTTTCTGTGCTTTATGGAGACTAGTGCTGCTGCACTGCCATCTAGTGTTTAATGTACATTTTGCACATTCAGTAGGTTTTTATTTGGCCTTGATAAATCTATTAAATGATCTTTCTACTACCCAAATAGGCCAATAGGCAGGCTTAGTAGATATACCCCCAATGAAAACATGTATGAAATTTTCGTGCTGTAATATCTCCAAGTTGAATATCCACTTCATTTTACTCTGACCGAGAGTTTTCATGCAATCTCTTCCTCGCCCTGAAACCTTCTGAAAGCCCATAAACTTAAGACCATTAGTATTACTGTTGTGTTTTATTTTAAAATGTTATGATACACTATGTCCCTCATAGCCATTTTAATATGCCTAATATGCTCTTCCACACATGTGTAGATTTCTCTTTGTTCAGCCTACGTATTTTAAATCACAAGGGCATTCCAACAAGTAGATAACATTGACTTACTTACATGTAATAAGATCCTATAAGGTAAAATTTTAGTGTGTCTTTTCTTATCATTGGATGTAGCAGAGCTCCAATACCCTGACTGGGTATCTCCACTGTAATATCCCTTGAGCTGGAAGAAATTGC